GAAGGAATTGTTCGATTGGCCAATCGTGTTGCAGTATGACGTCAAAGCGAGTATCGTTTGATTTCTAGAAAGTTCTCGGGCATGAAGTTTTTTCACCTGAGCGTTCGCTTAACCAACCAAAAGCCACGCGAGTTTGTGTCTGGTTCGATAAACCAATCAAATCGCTCAATTTCTGTTTGTTTGTTGTTTTTGTTTTGTTCACGCGTTTTCATTTCAAGGTCATACGAAAATCGCTCTATTCAGACTCAGTTAATATGTATCTGATTCACAGGATAGCTGGAGAAGTATTAAGTCATGTAAAACTTATGACAAGCCTAAAGGATAAATGAGAAAAAGGCAAGTAACTTTTTTTTTAACTCTATGCATTCTGTTATGTCCAAATTTCTTTGTTCAGTCCAGTCTTTGTGCAAATGGTCACTGGATTGCATGTGACAGTCCTGAAAGGTATTGTGGGTGGTTTTGAGTGCACTGTTCTTCAAAGAAATTTGAAAGAATGGCACGAGAGGCCATGGACATATGTTTGTGAGTGCTAAAGGAACGCAACAAAAGTAAGTTCAACGGCTACAGTGTCAGGCAAATGGTATTGATGATATACCATAATTATTACCTTTTGGGATTGTCACGTGCACATTTTTCTGACAACATTTCTTAAAATAGCTGTATGAGAAGGAAAACGGTCTAAAGAAAATGTAAAGTATTAACAAATACTGAACTAAATACACATGTCAATAAATAAGCAAATAAAAAGCATTCACATATTAAAATAGGGCACTGACTGACCAGGGCAGTTCATTCACAAAGAGAATTCTGCTTCTTATGAGTAGTGTCCCAGTGATTCTGGTATCTCCATGTCCTGCATCCCTGATGCATAAAAATCTCCAGAGATGCGACATAATTTATCGCATGCGTCCAGATTGATCAATCAATCTGAAGATGTTTTTTGTATAATATCCTGTTCGTGTGATTTCTCTGGCTGTTCCTGTGGCTACTTTTTAACAATGAAATATTACAGTTGAATCCCGCTATTTTGAAGTCCCAAGGGAAATGGAAAAAAGTTTGAAATAGCGGGGTTTCGAAATATCCGGGGAAACGTAAAGGGGAAGGGTAAATCCAAGGGCATTCGATCTTCCTTCAAAATAGCGGGGACTTCGAATTAACCGAGTTTGAAATAGCGGGGTTCGACTGTAGTCTTTGTGCTTTGTGCTTTACTATAGAAGGAGTATATTTTTATATCAGTAAACTGTAATACAGAGTTTTTGAGTCAGATTAACTGTCTGGTTACGAAAAGCCTCAATTTAGGATTCTTTGTTTTTTGAACTGGGACTCATTGGTTATGGACTGGGACTCACTGGTTTTCACAAGATGAGTCCCAGGACTCAACATAACTATTTGAAACAAAATCACTGCTGTCCAACCCAGTCAATCTGTTCCCTAGATAGTATGCATGGCATTATGGGTTTTAACCCTTAAGTCCCAAATATCCACATACAAATTCTCTAGACTGATCTCCATACAGAGTGAATTTGTTTGCTGATCAAAGCTATTCCTATCAGATTATCATTTCATTAATTCTCACAACATTTACTCCAGATTATGTAATGATATTGTTAAGAGAATTTGGACTTTGGTCACTCTTGGGACTTAGAGGGTTAAGTGAAAACTCCAGCTCTTATAGATCCTGTTTCATGTTCAAAATGAGCAGTCTGGCCAGTGTCTGTTTTGGTAAGGTTTTGGTAAGATTTCATACAATGTAATTAAGCCCATTTCCGAGATGCCTCAAGCCTGGATTTCAAAGTGAGGCTAAGTGCAAAGCCATTGATATGGAAATGATTTTTTAAGTGCAATGCAAATAAGACTCATTTTCACAAGAAAGGTTTTGCACTTTAAGCCTCTTAAAAGTGGGAGCTTTTGGAACTTGGAGATGGCCTATTGGCTAAGGATTGTGCCCAAGCCCAACATAAACAAGCAGCTTTTGCCCGCCCAAAATACGCCTGCAATGCAGGCTAATTTGCATACTATAAAAAGAATATATTAATAGGCCGCCAATATGAAAGACGTCTATGCCAATGATTTTCGATTGTCCATTGTCCATTGTCAATATTTGTTTCTGTCTTCCAGTTGTAGGGTCACATTGTAAACTACCAGATATCCAGTAATTGTGTTCCCAGCAAAAAGTCCATTGTTTTTTCCTTAGTTTTTCTTCCATTTCCAAGCAAGTACAAGATAGTGCTTTGTACTTGCCTGGGAGGAAAATGCATTAGCGGTGCACTTTGATATTGTTGTAGCCGCCATCTTTGATTTTATGACAGAGGAAGATTGGGAGAGTAGAAATAGAAACCCTTAGGGTAGGTGCTAGGGTGAAAGAAGAAAATAGTATAGTGTGAATTAGTGTGAACATACGCTAAAGCGTGAAAACGTTGTTGTAACCGGGGGGCAGGGGAGGCAGAGGGATTAGGAAAATTGTACGTACTTCTGGAACAATTCTGGCTACCTACCTGATAATTCTTCGGGTGGTTAACCTCTTTTTAACAACACGTGACCTGCTGGTAACCAGGTGCTTGACAACATGTGTGTAAAGCACATTCAACAGGTGCATATTTTGTTACCATAGCGCTCCTTCGAATAAATTCTAAATGTCCACGTTTCCTTCATCGAAGCGTTCTTTTAACAAAAAAAAAGGTCAGTATGATCCGATTTCTTCGTCGCAACTCTTCTTTCTTGTATCATTTGTAGTACACCACTTGCTATGTTAAGGTCAGTTTAGCAATTTGAATGGCAAGTAGTCATTTTAACATCGTCCCGCGAGTCCCAAAGTCTCATTCAGGTCAAACAAAGGCCCGCAAGCTTACTTCAAGCAAAATGCGTTTTAGGAACTGAAACTGGTGTCGCGAGGTCCACCACGGTCAAACGTCTGGTCTTGGTCGTTACCTTGTTTTACTTGCTAGGATTTCATTTACCAGTAACTGGAAACACAGGAAAGGTTAAATGAAACACTTAGTGAACGTAACTAATTTCATTTTTCTTAGAATATCGAGATTCTGTTTGCGCTTCACATCGGAGTAATCTTATGGTGATGTTACACGGGACGATATGCAACGACGATTTTTAGCACAACACAGCGCAGCAATGTTGGAACAATGTTGTGACCGTTCGAAACAATGTCGTAACAATGTTGTAACGCCGTGTTGCGCTAAGAATCGTCGTTGCGAATCGTCTCGTGTAACATCACCTTTAAGTATGCCGACAAAATGGCGCCGATCTCAACTGAACAAATATTTCAACTTGAGAATCATTTTAAGAAGCAGGAAAAATTTTTTTCGCTTAAGTATATACATACTTCTGGTTAGTGTATTGACAGGGTGCGCCCCTCTGCTGTAAATCATTGACTTATAAAATATTGGTTCAGTATTTTGTTTCAAAAGGTGAATTTGCTATTTACTGATTGAGTAAAGCTGTCTGGTACCTAAACACAGGGATTGAAAATCTTCTTATTGTTTTAGGCCGTCGACTAGCCTACGTGTAGCCGCACCCTCCCCCTCTCCATTTTTCCTTCGTTGGGGGGAGGGTGCGGCTACATGTAGGCTAGCAGTTGACTGACATTTCTCAGGATGGGTTTGATTGCCCAGTCCTTTTTTCACGCGTCGGTCAAAATGGATGGAATGTAACTTTGCACATCATTTTAACTTGTCAATCCCTCGTATATTCTTTTCTGTGATGTTCGCCATTTGTTTAGCTTTTGCCAGCCCCATCGTACCTTGTCTCAATGACCAATAAAAACGAGTTTTCGGATGTTCCGTCCGGACTGCATGCCCCTTTCTTGTTGGGATACTTTTGATATCCGTTTCTTTATGTTTATATAAAAGCTTGTGTTTTTCAAAACATCATAGAATTTTACTATTTCAGTGAAACGTTTATTGAATGGGACCCTCTCTGCCGGTGTCACCGGCCAATATTAATTTCACTGGCACTTTTTCCTACTTAATGCAAGGTGTCCACTTATAACAAGTGGTACGCTAGCCTGCGAGCAAGCTCTTCCTTTGGGGGATATCGTGATCGTTGCACGCAAGAGGGGACGCTTTCGTCCCCCCCCCCCCCCCCCCCCCCCCGGGTTCTTCGCGTTTCCTCCGTTTCCATTTTTTTTTCCCCCGCTCCCCTTTTTCCCCGACTTTTTTTTTTTTTCTTCCTCAAGAGATAATTTTTTTTCTCCGGCCCTTTTTCCCCTTTATGGGAAGTGGTCCCCTTTAACAACTGGGTGGCTCGCCCGCGGGCAAGCTCTTCCTTTTGGGGGTTTATGGGTTGTTTTGCCGAAAAGGGGGGGCTTTTTCCCCCCCCCCCCCCCCCCCACCTCGCGCGCGTGTTCTCGCAGTTTCCATTTCAGCATTTCTTTTACCCCGCTTCAACTTAGCGACCCGTTTTATATTTTACTGCCTCAGAAAGATCAAGTTTTGACTGGTGAGCTCATCCATGAAGGAGGTGCGTTCTGTGTGAAACATGTTGACAATACCGTCCACTAACATCTTACTTCTATTTTGCTTCTTAACGTAAAAGTTACGTATAAGTTATTGTTGTTACCCAAGTAGAGGCTTATTTCCTTCAGTGAGGTATTTAAGTCTCTTATTGCATGTACCTCCGATAGACGCTTTGAGTACCCCGAGCGGCAAGTCCACTTCCGCTTGCGCCTTATCTGAGCGATTCACTTTCATATGTAAACTGCTTTTCACAACAGTAATGCAAGTCTCTCTATTTTTATTTATAGAAGCAAGCAATCTGAAGAAAGCTGTTACACTGGAAAAACAATGGTTTGGCGTGGGAGATTCAAAATACGCCTTCTCCTTTGTTTTTTGTTGATCCTTTTCACCGTGGTACTATTTGCAACATATATTTTTCAGTTTAAAGTCACTTTCCGATCACTGTTCGACTCAACGCCTTACTTCTATGGTAGCGAAGGTACTGGCAGATTCTTATATAATACCAAAGCGAGCACAGACTTCCCAACAACTATGTTAACGAAGATAATCACCACAACCGAAGTAGTCCCAAATACTAAAGGAACCACAGATGCCTCAGTAACTCTGTTTGTGAGGATGGCTGGCAAACTGCCAGAACACAGGAAACGTTATTTCTGTGATCTATTCAGGACTACTGTTCTCTTTTGGCCTTCCTGTTATGGGAAGATTCTCGTTTTACTTGATGAAGAGTCAGAGGAGGATCATGTATTTGGAGATAAGATATTAGATCAAACCAAGAAATACTTTCCTGACTATAAACTTGAGGTGCAGTATGAGGCCCTTCCAAAGGAAAAAAGCACCCTGGACTTTCCAGGTATGCCAAAACCGCCCGGTTACAACAGACAGCTTTGGAGTAGCTTCTTTATGGATTTGTTTACAAATGACTCTATTATAGCGTGGATGGACAATGACGCCGCCTTTATCACCCCAGTAACTAAATCCATGATTTTTACTGGCACAAAGTTACGGAATTTAGGCTCAGGTTGCACACAACATAGGAGCTGGATACGTACTTGGGCAGAAACTACAGAACTTGCGCTTGGGTTGCCCTTTGTTACTGATTTCATGACGTATTTTCCGGTTTACATCTACAGGGACACCTTTACTCGCTGCAGAGAACATATACTGAAACGGTTTAACACCAGCAACTTTGAGGAGGCGTTCAGAAAGTTCTACAAGGGCTATATTAGTCCAGTCAGCATTATAATGGGTTATGCCTGGTACTTCGAGAGAGACCGCTACGACTGGAATTTCGAGATCTGCAATGGTCTTTCAGAGTACAATAAAAGATTTGCAAATGGTCATAATACCATTGGACCAGAAGATGTAGAAACTATTTTGTCCGAGCCTCAAGCAACTTTCCACGTGCCATATGCAGAGTTTTTGTCTTCAAACATTTTAGTCAGTTACTGCTTGTCACAGAAAGCGGCAGGAAATAACTTGGATATATGCTCCAGTCGTTCTATGTCAATGAGCGATAATTTTGTTCTCTTAAACTTCGATCTACAGTTCGTTAAAACTGTGGACGAAACGCCGTGTACTGGAAACCATACCAGTACTTGTTTGCAAGTTTTAGAGCGCCATTATAACCAAATCGGATCTGAGATTAAAAAAGGACGCGAGGTGGAATGGCGCAATGTTGAAACAGTTGAGAAGCTTGCTAATGAATTAGATATACAATGTTCGTCGCTTACGTAATGAGACCCCGACTGAAAACTGCTTGTGTAGAGCGTGATATAACAGGATTTTAATCAGGGGCACCCAACGACTAGTCTGCTTCACAGCCGTTATTTGTGTCGTCACGCAACGGGAGGATGAGTGGGGAGGAGTGCTGCGTGACGACACAAAGAACGGCTGTGAAGCTGCAGACTACCCAACTACCGAATGTTTCCAAATATGTCAAAAGTGTCTCAAATGGTTTTCTCTATGCGTTAGAAGCCTGTTTAATTATTTGCAGCTGCCCTAAAAACTTCTTATCTGTTCGAATGTCTTAAAGAAACTTTGGCCGTCTCGAAAGTTTTCGGCGGCTTTTTCTTCTCGTTCGAAACTGTTGGCCACTCTGATGGGTCCGGTCGAAAGTTCGAGGTCAGGGAGTGGCCATACTTTCAAAAGAAAGTTCAAGTGAGCATTTTGTCTTCGTACCGAGATTTTCAGGAGACCTTTTAATAGGGTTAGATACATTATGCAAGCATAATTTTGGGCATTATGCTATAGTCGGAGCATCGAGCATAATACTGGCATAATAGCCATATTTTCAGCAGAAAGAGACTGATTATGAAAAAAAAAAAAAAATTTCCGTAACTGTGCTGAGAAATTTTTTCTTCCAAATGTTTTTGGTGAGGATTAGCATATTCAAAGAGGCTTGATTAATACTTTCAATGTCTTGTTGCACCGTTGCATCATTTCGTTAGGCTGCTAAGACTGGCCAATTGTCTATCCATAATTGCTGCCAGTTCGAAATTTGTAACTGATGCAATAAAATGTTGTATTAATGTCTGTGGAGATACCGCCAAGATCAGTTGATGCAAGAGCCATAATAGGACAGTGTCCTATTATGGCTCTTGGTTGAGGATAATGCTTCTTTTCGAGCATAATTTCAGGCATAATGCTGTTGTTTTGAGGGTGTCGCTCAAAGGCATAATGCTCAAATTCTTTAGAGCATAATGTATCTAACCCTATTTTTTAAGAATAATCCCAGTATCTTGCATCGGGAAGAAAATCTGAAAAACGCAACCTCAGAAAATCGTAAGTTAGTAGGAATACTCCGAATATATTAGATGAATGGAACGGTTATGCAGAAATTTGTAGCCTATATAATAATTTGCTTCTTCGAACATTCATTTTACAGAAAAATGTGGTTGGGTGCCCCCGTTTAATTAGTCTAGTGGGGAGGAGCGTTGCGTGACGATGCGGAGTAGACTACCGTTTAATAGACCGCCCTATTAACGGTACCCGCCATCTTTACACGCACTTTCTGAGTGATAAAATTTACCAATACGAATAATCGCAGTGGAGTTTGTTTATTCTACAAAACTAGACGACGATTTTACGTACAGTTCGAGTTTCGACAAGTTTTATGCCATTGTCGCTTGCTGTGAGGACAACTACAGTCGTTATTCCACCCCTAATTTGCCATTATTACCTTAAAGTTAAAAAGTTCTTCGGTCATTTTCTGTTGTCTAGAATAAACAAACTTGACCGAGATTTCTTGCATTGGCAGATTTACTTGTTTGCCTCGTGGGAAACCACGTGTCATCGCTTTTATCCCATCAGTCCTTGAGCGCGAGCACCAAAGATAGCGGGTATCATGAATAAGGTCTATTAGTATAGCTTTCAATTTTATACCTTCTGCACTAACTAGTTCGTCAAAGGTGAAGGACCTTTTTAGCTTGGCTTGTTCTTTTTTCATTTAACCCATTTCAGAACCTCAAGAACGTTGAACTTGCTACGTTTTTAGCAGTTGAAAGTAATGTATGACCTGTAGTGTTCTGATTTGTTTTTGAGTGCCAAGGTTGTTTTCAGAGTGATAGAGAGATTTAGAACCGAATTTACGGTAAACGCCACACGTCAAGTCGTACCAGGTGACCAAGTTTTTCCATCGCCCTTCATTCAGTGTTCATGATATCTACCCAAGAATCAGTTGTTTCGTGCCAGTTTCATCTATAAGAAATATTTTGGGCAGATCAGTATTATCTGCTCATTTCCTATTTTGAGAAAATTTGTAACTTGAATCGGACGTTTGCCGTTTGTCTTAAAGTTAACGTGATACTAGATCTCTCTAATGATGGCAAATAATTCCTGATAATAAGAACCAAACAAGTAAACTTCTCAATTAGTTTTTTATCAATGATTATTTAACGACATAACTTAGGAGAGTTACGGAGTATTTATCTATTAAACAGAGTTAATTTATTTGGCAAGGGTTCAAAAAGCTACATTCCAAAAAAATCTAATATCTTTTGTGAAACACCATTGGCTTAAAGTCTCCACAGCTGTCTGTTGAATGCCGTATTTATTCCGATATATTTCATTTTGACTGACAAAGTTATCCATGGGTTAGATCTTATTTCATATTCCGGCCAGCATGAAGGTGAACGCTAGGTTATGATAGCTATTGGTTGTTTGTTAACACTGAGAGTTCACCTGGAGATATTCCTGTTCATTTTTTTCCTGGTAAACTCTGGAATGTGTTTTCCAGTGAAGTTACACAATCACCCAGAAGGCCTCCAGCAATGGTAACTTTTAATCTTTGTAGTTATCTAGTTAATTCATAAACTTTTTGGAAGATTTTTAGGGTGTTATACAAATCATAGAATTTTTGAGACGTTGTCACATTTTTAATATATGTTTTAATTATTCGTACTTGTTATCAGAGTTGTTATAAAGAGTTACATGCATTGCGGTGTCTCATATTGGTTCGGAAAATTTACTTCCGATATATTAGTATGTCAAGTTATAAAGAACACACAGGAAAAAAAAACACAGTGAACGGTTTGAACCCAGGAATCATGTCATAAGTAAGTGAAATATGATCGTCCGAGTGAGTCGAGTCCTGTTGTTGACAATGACTGACAAATTCCACTGAAAAAGACTTGAATCCATTACTGGAATCCGGAATCCACGGCGTGGAGTCCAGAATCCAAGACTGTCTTGGATTCCCTTATATGGGGCGAAGTCGTTTGAAATTGCCGTTGAATCGTAGTCAGAGGTTACCGTCACCTCACAAAATAATCTCGTACCTAGATCTCTTGTCAACGAAGCGACAAGAGATCTGGGTACGAGATTACTTACAAACGACTCAAGCAGTCACGAACTCAAGCAAAAAACCACTATAACATTATAGTCTTCATAGCCAACAACATCACGGCTTCACTGACAGACGACCATTAACGACGCGAGTTATTTGATCAATCCGGTAAAAAGTTATACATGGACGAAACGGGCCGAAAACTAGGCGACCTTTTCGGCGAACATAAGATGTTGAGATGTTGAAAGAAATGACAAGGACGCATCAAAACTAGTGGCTCGCCACTTTAATCTCCCCAATCACACTCCGGCCAAAACATGGCAATCTGCGGTTTCTCTCCCTTCACCATGGCGACACGGAACGATGTAAAATCTACTGCAAAAACGTATATTTCAAATCGGCGCTCTTAAACCCTACTGAATCAACAAACGCTTTTCCGGTATTTACTTAATTTATCTTCTTTTTCACGTTACCATGGTCCCACCCATAACATGGCTCCAGTTTTCGGTATTTAAACCATACACAACCCACAGTCCCCTGATTTGCTCTGACGAACGGCTAGCACTCGAAACTTATTTCAGTTTATTTATTTTTTGAATCGTTTCCACCATATGGTGCGAAACGCACAACAGAGCTGGGTTCCAATTTAAGTGTGTCTTTACAGATAACCCACCCAGCCCAGGAAAGGTGGCCACACCACCGGGGTCTACTTCCCCTGCCCTTTTTTGTACAGTGGTGTGGGTTCTTTTACGCCCCACAAGAAACAGGTAAGTGAAAGTGCTGTGAGACGGGACCTAGGTTTCTCGTCCTTGTCCGAGAAGACCGTGAGGAAGTCTAACTGTTTGGAGACGTCATTGCAAAGGCAATATTTTCACCCCAGTTATTTTAAAGACCGTGAGTGTTGGTCCGGCCGGGATTTGAACCCGCGACCTCCCGCTCGGCAAACCGGCGCTCTCCCAACTGAGCAAACCAGGCGACAGTTGTCAACTTCAGCTTCGCTATTTCCCTACGGTGGCCAATCCGCCTTAATATCAAGTCATTTGACAAAACCAAATTTTTATAGAACACAAAAAAATAACCCCTCGGAACTGAACAGGATCACACAACTGATTTTGCGTAACAACTTTTTTTGATTTAAAGCCCCGTGCAAACGGACGCAACATTGTTGGATGTTACATGTTGCGTCCGTTTGCACATCCTGATGCATGTTGTTGCGTGATGTTGGGAGTTGTTGCGCAAATTTTGAAACCGCTCTAACGTTTAGCGCTACGAGCAAACGGACGCAACAACTCCCACCATTGTTGGGCAAAGGTTGCACTTAGCTTAAGGTTATTTTCCTGAAATAGAACCTGCATTGAGTGGCTTAAATTTTGAAATAAAATTTGGAAGTCCTCATACTCGTATATAGCTGCAGAACTGAGCAACTTGTATATGTTGTGGTTCCAGTATCCTTGGTTTAAATTTTATTTCACTCTGTTTTAAACTCAATATCATACCAAGTTATCATACCCAAAAACAAAGGAAAACAGAATTTAAACCAAGGATAAAATTGAACCACAACATATCTATACCCAATAACTCCTAAAATATCCAATCATATAATCATATAGGCAATATGATAATATTTACGAGTACATCCTTAACAGGCTTCCGAAGACTGTTTCTTTTTCTGCACTGATCCATATTTATTCCAGGGAAAGAAAGTTAGTGCTCATTTTAAAAGAAGTGAAAATACTGATAGGTCACCATACTCGTTTAGGAAAAAAATGAAGATTTTATTTACCTCTTTAGGGAGCTCCAGCCTTAAGGCAAAAGCCCGCTGTGTTTTAATATGCGCGAGCTAATCACGCGTAAAATTATGCGCAGTAAGAATGCGCAATGCAATACTAACAGGACTAACCTTATTTTAAGTAATGATCCGGGTAAGGTGGATAGCAGTTTCTTTTGTTAT